TGTATTTTTATTATCAATTCCGAGTGGGTTAAGACCACATAGCATACAGTATATAATTTATCCAGTATCTGCCAGGCCACATCTGTAGCCATTGTAACAAACGAACCAATCATGCCAGGTACAACTATAGACATCGCAACTCACAAAAGTGAGTCAAGCAGAAAGTTCCACCTGGGCCAAACAGCAGGACAGCTGCCAGAAGGCACGGAGAGATTTCTGATACCATCATTGAAGGGTTAGGAGAGTGAATGGAGGATACAGCAATAATTCCCCTTTGGCATTAAACCTCTGACTGATTGATTTGAGGGGGGGGGGGGGGAATAGTATCATAACATCAATAAATGACATCTGTTGTCTATAGAATAGTACCTACTAAGCAGTAGGCAACAGACATAGAGATTGAAATTAGCATACACAGGAACTAGTAATCAAAAGTCAAAAAGTTTATTTCTATATAACATACAGGGACAAAAAAAATGCCTATGTGGCTGGCTATTTAAGATGGAATCAGTTACATTCTTAACTCAATGCCGACGGGCATGACGTGTATATACGTGACATGCCCACTGTGAGTTACTTGTTTGATTGTTTTTATACATAGATGGCTACACTTGTACTAAAACACCAATGAGCCAATTAGGAGTACTGCCTATCTCACCCGTTTACCCTTTTCTTTGATTTACGAAAATATATTACATCATCTTATTTTGCTGTTACTAATATTTATAACATTATAGTAATTATTATGTTTATAATTAAATCACAAGGTCAACTAATTGACTCCTTTGTGGCTAAGCACTAGCAGAGCCATCTATGTGCAGGACCTAACATAGCCCGACATAACAAGTGGGTTAAGTTCGGAAAAGAAAGAAAGACCTCAAATGAATATAAAGGTGAAGGGAAGTATTGCAGCCATCATTTATCTCTTTAGTATCATATACTTTCCAGGTGGATCAGTTGACCCTCCCTGAACATTACAGATTCTTGTTTGGTTGGGAGGGACAAATCTTTGTTTATGCCTAATTACTCCAGTATGAGAACCCTAACCTACACAGATGAATTTTTATCAGAATAAGAGAGTAATTTATAAACAAGCTCTCTACCACAATAGTATTCGTCTATGCTCTGATCAGCAGAACATAGAAGAGATCTTGACCTACACTAATTAATAGAACACGTAGACTGCTATGGAACAGACTGTGTCCTGCAGCACCAATGAGCTGCAATGATTGCTAAATAAATAGCATGTGGTGTGAATGCCTTGCATCATATAAGATTTTGCTTCCACTCAGCATAGAAAGTGATAAACAGAACTAGTCATGTAAGTACTACTGTAAGTATTTCAGTTTACAACATACATTTTTTAGCATTACCTCCAGGAGAAAGGAATCATATTTGTTGTCAGACTGGTGAGGCAGTCATGCCTCATTCTTAATTCACAAAGATTAAAATGCCTTGATATAACATCAGATTAACCCAGTGCTGATGGGCATGCCATGCCATGCCTACTGTGAGTTTACATGTTTGATTGTTTTTACACATAGATGGCTACACTTGTACTAAGTCACCAATGAGCCAATTACAAGTGCTGCCTGTCTCGCCATTTACCCTTTTCTTTAATTTTCAAAAATGTTTTACTTTATCTTATTTTACTATTACTAATATTTATAACATTATAGTAATTATAATGTTTATAATAAAAATAACACCATTGATATTCATAGCACTAGTAAAAAATACATTTTCCTGCCAATTCAAGGAAAGGTGAAATCAGGTAAGGCAGGGCCATCTATGTGTAGAGACATTTCATAAAAAATATAAAAAATGAGCACAGCATTTTCCCAATTTTTTATTTATTTTCCTTGGTGGCAATGGGTTAAATATATTAGCCATAAATAGCTGGAAGAGGCTGATCCATAAACAAGACCATGGGAAAGTTTGCTGAACAAAATTAAAGCTCTAAAACTGTGCATCATATCTCCCTTACATTTTTCCAAGGTAATTTAAAATTATAATATATGCATCTATCTGCCTTTAAACATAGATGTCTGCAAAAATGCTTAATCACCAGGGAATCAACTACTTGTCCACACTTATATTGCCCATTTACGTTTTTCCTTGATTTTTGTAAAGGTTCTTTTTTATTTTTCTATTGCTATTTGTACTGTTAATAACATCTTAATAATGTCATAATGTTAATATAATAATAATAATAATAACAACATTGATCTTAAGGGGGTACACGGTACCTGGTGGGAGTTAATATAATAAAAAAGTAGCTTTATTCAAAACTAGGCTCAAAATGATTGTATACCATCTAGAAATTCTCTTTATGCAATATTTTCACCATAGTATACGGTTTAAATGCTTGCTGTGGGCTCAATGGACAAAGATCCTAACCCACTGCATGGGGTGTGGCAGGTTGGGGCCTTTTACACATGTAAAATTAAGATGAATTTCCACTGAAATCCTGCTACACAAGAGTCTAGCTCAATATGTGGTGTTGTGGGAGGGTGGAGAGCCACAGACTCGGTAACCACTTAGGAAGCTAGTTTCACCATGATCATTCATAAGGAATGCAAGCTTATCTCCATGGTCCTGCATATCATCTTCAAAATAAACTATTGTCCAATGACCACATATAACAGTGTGAAGTTTGATATACACAAACTGACAAAGGTGCAAAAATATAATTTTCTGATAGGGCCATTTGAATACCTGAGTAGTAATTCCTTTAAACAAACTATCTATAACTGAAATATGTTGATGATTTTTAAAATACTTTACCTTTTTATAATACAATGAGTTAAAATTAATAAAAGGAAACATAAAAAAATACCTGATGGACACATATGATAAAAAGATATACCAGCATACCTTTGTATATATAAAAAGGCATAAGAAATGACTATTAACAGCCTAAAAATAAAAAGGACTGGTTAAATATTAAGTGGCTGTGTAATTTAATGTACAGCAACACATATACATTTAGGTGTAAATATATTTATATGTATATGTATATGTATATATGTATATATGTGTATATATATATATATATATATATATATATATATATATATATAAATATATATATATATAAATATATATATATATAAATATATATATATATAAATATATATATATATATATATATATATATATATATATATATATATATATATATATATATATATATGTGTGTTTGCATATATACATACACACATAAGTAGATACATAATTCTGGCTCACAAAACTGTAAGCAACATAGATACCTAAATACCTATAAAGTTTCACCTAGTACCTCAAATAGTTTGGTTAGAAGACCACAGGTGTTGCATACTCCCATAACAGTATTAGAAAAATATTTTCTTCTGAAAAAAAATCAAGGAGAGGAAAAATCAGATTACGTCAGATAGGCCTATTAACCCATTCGCCGCGGTTGGCAAGAATAGATGCCATACCCACTTTGATACACGTTTATTTATTGTATTTACACCTAGATGGCTCTACAAGTTCTTAATCACCAAATAGCCAGTTATCAAGAACTACTTATTTCACCTGTTTAGCCTTTTCCTTCACTTTCGGAAAGGGTTTTTTGTATCATCTTATTGTCAAAAATATTCTAATGACAATTCAATCATCATAACATCAGTAACAATAATAACAGCATCGAAAGCAATGATATTAATTTTCCCGCCAATTCAATGAATGGGAAAATCAGGGTCGGTAACTAGGGCCTACTGATAGACTCCTTGCCGGCTGAGTACATGTGGAGCCATCTGTAGGTAGCAAAATTCACCAAAACCAACAGGGGACAGAACATAAATCCGTGGCGAATGGGTTAATTGGTTCCTGGTAGCTAAGCACCTGTGGAGGTATCTACATGCAAATAGAAAAAAAAAATACAGTCAGCAGTACACATATGCAGCAATGGGTTAAGATTGAGAAAAATTCTTTCCCATGAGGCTGAAATTCATAAAACTAACTCCAGCACAGTCTAACAATATTTCTGGAACATATCTATTTGATTTAAAACAAACTTGGCTTTGATATGGTTCTCCAATTCAGTTTTGTGTTTTCACCTAGTGCATTACTACAAAATAATGATTATAATAATACAAAACTTTTCAACCCATTCCAGTGAGCTGCCTATGTGAACTATTCTAAACTTTTTATTACCTAACAAACATGCTACCAAATAGATGTACTCATAAATTAAAATATACAATAAATCAAAGTTTCCTGCTTGTATAGGTTGACAGTAGTAAATATGGTGTGTTTTATTCTTCATATTTATAACTGTTATAAATACTGCTTTCTAAAAAAAATGGGATATCAGCAGCACAGTTTAAGAGCTTCCTCTGCCTTTACTAGACACTTGTGCACATCATGAAGCCTATGGTATCAAAGTCCTGCCCAATCATTTCCTGAGACACTTGCAATTCTGAAGTTTATTGGCACCTGAATAAAAGCCCTCAATTAGACTGTCATATGTTGTCCAGCTACTCCTTCAAGTTTGAATCATTTAAGGATAGCTAATAAATCTATTCTCTCTTTATCTAACATATCAATCATATTATTATATGAGGCTTTCTCCAGTTTTCCATAAATAAACCAAGAGTACAACTAACACATTCTATCGAGAACCAAAGTCCGTGTGAAACAGAATACAAGAGAATAATTATACTTAAATGAAAACAAAAGAGCAGGATATTAATGATTCGAGTCATTAATACCAAGCCAAGAAGAAGAACGCGTCAGTAAAGATAAGATAAAGAGGAGAAAAGAGCAAAAGCAAATGAAACGAGCGTCACGGAGCCCCAGAACGAGCAGGTGTTGACATCAGCTGTGAATTGTCAACAAATCAGCTGCTTCCCCGAGACACGACCTCCCGAGATGCGTCAGTTATTTCCACACTTGATTTTCATATTATAGGCCCTACGTGGCTTATGAATGACACTCAATTCTTCATTAGTCATTTATCTCGTCTTTATACCTAC